AGAACAAAAACAACTTGCATACAAGATGTCTACAAATGCAATTTACAGTGGACTAGGTTTAGAGTACCTTGGTATTGCAGTTTCTATAATATTACAGTGTATAACATGTATTGCACAAACTGCATCATAAACCTTAAAACTTTATACAATTTTATTATACAGGCCAGTTTAGCAGTAAACTACAAGATGAAACTAGTAACAAAATAAGCAAGGTTATTTATAGTGATACTGACTCCTGTCTTGCATTATTTTTAGACAAATGTTATAAGAGATAATAGAAAAATATTATAATTATTTTACTAATAATGCCTTACCTATTGAATCTTGTAAAAAGTATTTCTTCAAGATATATGATGAATTGACCAAGAAAGGTAGCATGTTTGGAAAAGAGGTCTGTGATACATACAACAAATATAATCAAGATCATGGTATTTACATCATAATATTAGAATATAAAAAAATATTATTTGATATAACACTAAACATGAAGAAACATTATACAGATTATAAGTTTGAATTAAAAGATGATAGGAGTCCACCTAATTATTTTTTCTTTGAAAACTTCTATGATGCCAAAGATCATATATCCTGAGATGCAAAACTATTCAACAAAAAGCTAGTATTCTCAGAAATAGTTAATGCTTTTATAAAAGAAACTAATAAATTTAAACAGTTCTCAGTAATGAAACAATTTCAAAATATCCATCTTCATGAAATTAAAAGAGTATGCAAAAATGCAAATAATCTAGTAGAGTTGAAAAAAAAGGCAACCAAAGTGTGAAGACAATGGTTAATAGACTGAAAAAAGAAGAAAACCTAGTTCCTAATGGCCAAGTTAATGTTATTATAAAGTACCTACCTGGTAGATAAAGTGTTGGTGAGAAAATGTTATTAACAGAAGAATATAATCCTTAAAAAGATACTATTAATACATTATACAATATTAAGAAATTCCTTCTATTTATCAAACCAAGCATAAATTTTGAAGAAAACGAAGCCAAAAATTTTTTGTTTAAATGTTACAATAAGATCATAAAAACTTCAAATAAAAAACCAGAATTAGATAAAGATAATAGAAAATCTCAAAGTGGTTCTTTACTAGGACAAAGTAAACAACTAAACCAAAAAAGAAAAAAACTTGACAATGATAATAAAACTGTAGTTCAATAAAAATTAACAGACTCCTTAAACAATAATTAAAATATTAATAGATATTTTATTTAAAAATAATAAATAAATAAAATACAAAACTATTTTTCAATTATATCTTTTTATTTCTTTCTGTCTATTCTCTGAAAAATTTTCAAAATTATCTAGTAGTACTTTTTTTATAATACATATATCTATTTTTGTTACATCTACAAGAACATCTAATAAACATAAAGTTTTTTTTCTTTTATTTATTATTACTTTTCTACAAATATTAAAATCAAAATTCATTTTCTTTTTAATTATTCTTGTAATTAATTTTTTAAAGTCATAGAAAATGATAGAATAATCTAAAAATTTTAAAGTATGCTTATAACTTAAATTATCTAATTTCAAACTATCAAAATAACCTTCAAAAAAGCTTAATACAATATCTATTGGTTTTATCTTAGAAATAATAATACTTGCTTAAGTATTAAAACTATTGTATTTTATAATCAAATATTGTAAAGCTTCTAATAATATTATTCTACTATCTTTAAACAATAAAGAGATGTATCTTTTAAAAAAAACTACTTTAGGTTGTTCTAGAACCATTAAGGTAACTTTAGCATCAGTATTAAATCCATAATTCTCTATTCTTGAAAATGCTAATCTTTATAGTATTTTATTTAACACAGTATCTATAGTTGTTTTAAACAACTCAATTTTCAACTCTTCTTTTTTGTATTTAAAAATGACTTTTAAAACATTTTGATTTTTTCTATTTACAAACAGATAAATAAATGACTTAATAATATTATTATTGGTTGAATTTGTATATTTAATATCAAGTTTTTGACAAATAAATTTGAAAACAACATTGTGTTTGTTTCCTAGGATCACTTTAATTATTAGTTTCAATATATATATTGTAATATTAGTAGGTTTATATCTGATGAATTCATTAAAGATAGTTTTTTTATTATTCTTAAAAATTATGCATATGAATCTAAGATATGCAAGAAAATACCATTCTTCAAAAATATTTTATAATAGTTCTCTTCTGAAGAGAGCACTTGTTATAATCATGTTGAAATGTTTGTTTAAGAAACATATTATCTTCCAAATTTCAAAATTATTATTAATTATTATTTGTAAAATTTCAGGTGAATATAAAAGATAACCTATTTTACTGAACTAAAAATAAAAATGATTCAAATACATGATTAAATATAAGAAAATGCTATTTACAGAAGCCAAATATAGAAATTCCAAATTATATATAACTCAAACCTTTATATAATCTTCATTTTTATTATTATTTATTATTATTTATATCAAGAATTCTAAAACTGATAACAAATATGTCTGATACTGAAGAAATTTATGTTGTACCATCTAGTTACGATCCTAATTATACAAATTATAGTAGCAGGAACTTATATCAAACATACAGATACTATGTCAATACAAGAATTATTAAAAATGTATTTTTATTTACTGAAAAAAAAAATAGTCTCTATGAACATATTGAAGCCTGTGAATCATAAGAAAAACAAGAAAAATATAGAAATAAAATCAAGGCAATGATAAATTACTTTCAAAAAAAATGTAATAAACATATTGATAATGCAAATGTTTTTTATATCTATCTTGTTGTTCGCCAAGATAAAAAATACTGTAGAATGCTTTCTTTTGTTAAAATTCATAAACCAGATAAAACAGATAATAAAAAATTTATACATGATATTAAACCTGTCACTTCTAGTAGAACAAATAAAAATGATGCTGATGCTGCCAATATGCCATCCAAAGTACTTCCTATAGCATTGAGTAAATTTTATAAAACTTTAAAACTGATTGCATATAAATCAGTTTTGAAAAGATACAAAGAAAAAAATATTACTAGGTTTATATCAAATATGAAATGTTAGCAGTATATTTTAAACAAGAATTAAACTTTATAGATTTTTTTGATTACAGTAGCAAGAATGGTAGAAAGTTAAAATACACTAAAACTATCAAAAAAATCAATAAATAGCTTAAATTGCTAAATAGTTTTGTAAAAAAAAATGTAGATTTTTACAACAAAGAAAATCATATTGATAATAATATATTAGAAATTTTTGATAAGTATTCTGTTTCAGACCCTGACTGGTTAAAGAAATCTAAAAAGACATCTAAATTTAATACCAAATTAACAATTGAAATTAATTTTTTTTCTTTTAAACCTAATAGACAAAAGCATAAATTTAATGAAAAAAATATACCAAATAGTAAATAAGTATATAAAAAAAACAAAAAAATAGTTTTAAAGTACATTTTATATGTTATTGATATATTTTAAATGAAGTTATATTTGATTAGTCAATTATATTAAGTTCAGTTTTGTAAATATCTATTTAAATGCTATATTTGTATTTGTGTTTAAATCTATTGTAATAACAATATTGTTTGTGAATACTATTACTAATAATCATAATAAAATTATTATTGAATCTTACTTATCTATAATAAAAATATTTGAACTATTAGAACCACTTATAACTAATTATATTTCTAATCCTAACAAGAAAACATCATTAAATTTTTTTATATTCTTTCATATGAATGTTAAGCAACTTATAAGAACTAAAGAAAAGGAACTAAATATGTATACACTATCTATGATTTTTAGTATCTTATAAAAATGATTTGATGAAGAAGTAAAAGAAAAATATAAACAGAGTTCTTTAAATATTAAAGAAAAATATTTACAAAATAAGAAGTTAAATATTTAAAATATAGATTTTGTAATATTTGAAAAACTTCACAATAACCAAAACTACAAATTTTGCAAAATCAATATCAAAATCAAATTTATAATGTTTTATACTTTAATTATTCACAAAACATGTATTAAATCTATTTTTTTTAAATAAAAATATTGTTTTATTGATAAGATAAAAAATATAATAAGATTATAAAATGAAAATTATTCTTGTTTTTGAATATAGTATATTTCAACTATATTTACATTTCATTTTTCTATTACAAAAACAAAATTATATAATCTAATATTATATTTTTAAGAGTAATTATCTAGAAGCAGATCTTTGTTTCAAAAACTACTTCTTTATCATAATTATTATTAATATAAAATTTAGTATTATTTTGTATAAGTTTAGCAACTTAATATGTTCCTGTTTTATAGGTACTTATCCTAAACAAAAAACTATTTTTTTATTTGCATTGTACTATTAATTCAATAATTATCATTATATTTTCCAAATATATATCCAACTCTTTCATCCTTTATTGATAACCAACAATGAGCATTTCTCTTTACAAACATTAAATATATCTTCACTAGTTAATTCATAACCCATTCTTGATGAAGAAAATATCAGTTTCATGCAAAATAAATATCTAAACATATTTTTTAAAACAGGTATATTATAGGTTTTTAGAATCTTTAATACAGTCAACCTCTCTAAATGCAACCCCTCTAAATGTAACACTTCTTTAAATGCATAGCAATTGCCTGGCCCTATGATAGGCCTTATAAATAAATGCACATTCTTTATTCTATAAATGCAAGCTATTTTCTTGGCCTATGCATTCTAAACTCCCCTATAAATGTAATTACATAACCCTAGGCTAATCAAAAATCAGTATTCTTTATATATGCATGCTATACTAAAACAAACTATATCAAGTCACAAGCCTACTTTAAAAAAAAGTTATATCTAATTATTCGCCTAATAATATGCAAGTATAGAATGATACAATACACATCTAGTATTTATGTATATATGTATATACTAGTATATATATATATATATATTATGCTTTTTTGTAAAAAAGATGCAAGTAAAAATTTTTATTGAATGATAGCATTAAAATCCAAATTTTGGGGTTTGTTATGAAAATAAATAAAAATTTTCCAATTGTCAATTTCTTTTTTTGAAGTCAACTCTGTATATGTAGTAATGTATATAAAATATTAAGTTATTCATATTGTAAAACTGGATAGTAAGTCTGATTATATAAAAAGTTACATATCATCTAAAATGAATTGGCTTTTATTAATATTTAGCTAATGAGTTTTAAAACCTGATTTTTATTCAAACTAAAATAAAAATTAATTGTGATCCCAAAATCTGAATTGATTCTTAGCTCAAGATTTTATTTTTTTTAAAGTAAGAATCAATTTTAGCTTTTAAGATTAATATCAGTTCTTAAGATTCAAAAAACTTAGATAAGAATCAATTATGAACTCTGATTCAAACAATGCACTTATACCAAATACCTATTTTTCAAAACTAAGTGCATAAATGAGTATCTAAAATTTTTAGAATACATATAGGGTGTATCACCAATTTTAGGTAACAATATTTTTTTATTTAAAATTCTTGCATGTTATTCAATATTATACATATGAATGCATAAACATATATAAATTGTATGCTAGACTTGTATCTAATTAGCAAAATTATTCTTCTTAATAATTCTTTTTTTTGTTAGCTCTAATAATAATAATTAATAAAGGTTAGAAATTAATTTTATTCAGACATAATTTGTTAATTATAAAATGGAAACATATAATTGAGATAAATAAAATTAAATTCTTTTTTAATAAATATCTTTATATATTGCATAGTTCTAGTAAAAAAAAGTGTATTTAAGTAAGATAAATTTATTTTTTTAATAAAAAATTACTTCATATAATAAAGAAAAATGTCTTCTAGTAAACATAAAGATAAAACCACACTTACTAATAAACAAAGGCAAGACATTATCATATATAAAAGTAAACATTCTAATATTAGCAATGTTGAACTTGTAGACTGAGTAAAAAAAGAATTTAAACTTGATGTTCATCCAAGTACTATTGAATGTCTAATAAAAAATAAAAAAGACATCAGAAGTAACCCTACTACAAAAAGACAAAGAACAGTTCAACATCTAGAGCTTGAAAATACACTACTCGAGTGGGTTCTACAAAATCAAGGAAAGGTAATTTTAAGTGATGCAATTCTGATAGAAAAAGCAAAAACTTTTGCTTAAATGTTAAAGATACCTGATCTTAAGTTCTCACAAGGCTGGCTATACAAGTTTAAAAAAAGACACAGATTAGAATAGGTAAAAAAGCATGGATAAGATGTTTCTGTGAATGATGCTGTTGTTGCTGCTGCCATCTCTAAGTTGAAAGAATTATTAAAAGAATATGATCTAAAGGATATTTACAATATGGATAAAACTAGGTTATTTTATTAGTATAACAAATCATATTGTATTAATTAATATTTATCTTCTTTAACTTTTTTTTTTCTTTTGTTAGTCTTGAACCTAATACAACTTTAGCTACTAAATGCCTTAAAGGAAAAAAAAAGATTTGAAGCAGTTAACTTTAGCACTTTGTGCTAATACTGATGATACAGATAAAATAAAAGTATTTGTAATTAGTAAGTCCTCCAACTCATGTTGCTTCAAAGGTATCAATCATAATAGACTTGGTGTTAAATATGATGCAAGTCATAAAGCATGAATAACAATGATTTTGTTTCAAAGTGCCTTAAAGAATTTGACTCAAAAATGGCTAGCTGTAAGATAATTCTTTTATTAGATAGTGCAAAAGTTCATTCTACTACTAATTTAAATCTTCATAATACAACTGTTCATATCTTACCTTCATATACAACATTCTGCATTCAACCCATGAATGCTAGCATTATTATATCCTTCAAGCATCATTATCAAAGTTACTTTATAAAATGGTTACTTGACAAATATGAAGCTAAAAAAGATGAAAAAATGAATATTCTTGATGCTATAAGGTTTATTGCTTAAGCATAGAAAGAAGTAACACTAGAAATAATATATACTGTTTTCAATATACAGGAATTCTTCCAGATATCCAAGATAATGAAGAATCCTTTATTAGTGATAATGATGATAAATTGATAGAAGAACTTTATTTAGATATTGAAGTGCTTAACTTTTAAAACATTATGGATCTTAAAGAATATATTCAATTACCCAGGAGAAAAAGATATATATAAAGTATTGAGCAATAAAGAAATTTTGGATCTGACTACTAATCTTGAACCTAAGAATGAAAGTACTGAAGATGATGACAGTACAGAAATGCATCAAATTAGTCATCAAGAAGCATTAAATGCAGTAGAAATACTTGAACAATATATTGTGCAAAATGACTTTAGTGAAACAGCCAAATCTGAACATAATGAAGCTTTACTAAAATCACAAAAAGGAATAAAAAAGCTTCAAATTGCATCTTTTAAGCAAACAAGTATTGAAACTTACTTTGAATTAGTTGATTAGATTATGGTTTTTACAAAAACATTGTACTTATCTTTTTAAGAAACAGAGATCTTTATAATAATGCTGGTCTTAGTCTTTATTTTTTTATAATATCAAACTTGATATTTGAGAAAAGGTGTTAGCAAAGTCTCAAACTTTAAATAAATCACAGAGGTAAAGTAAAGCCTTTTACTTATTTTTTTTGTAGATCATTGTAATATCTTTAAGTAAGGTGCCTGTTCATATATAAATTATTTTATTATTATACAGTTATATGTAGCTAAATTAAAAAAAAAAATATTTATATATTAGTATTAGTGCAGTAAATGTGAAACAAAGAAGAACTTTATTATATATAATAAAGCTATTATATTAAATTACTTATGTGATTTTGAATATTATTTTAATATAATTGGCTACTTCCTAATTGCAACTCCTTCTAAATGCACATCTCAGAACCTGTCTCAATAACTTGCATTTAGAGAGGGTTGACTATATATAGTTTATATTTGAATATCTTATCTAATTTATCCCATATTTTGAAGAATAATTAAGATCAAGTTTTTTATATAACATATCTTCTAAAATATATCTATTTACTGATTCTTGTTCTTCTTATAATAAATCTATCACCAGAAGGATTAAAAACTCTTTCTGCAAATCCATTACACAAAAATTAACTAAAAAATTCGTTCATCTAAAAATACTTATAACTATTTATTTTACTAAGACAACCTGTCCTAGGCTCTTAAGTAAACTTGTTCAGCTCATCA